ACCCTAAGCTCAGTATACCGCGAGCTACAGCTCGCGGTATACTGAGATGCCGCAGCCGGAGCGGATCCCAACGTAGATGACGGGATCTGCCCAGCTGCGTGAGTGACAGCTGGCTCTGCCTATCTAGAGGCAGAGCCAGCTGTACCCGTCCCCTCCCCCATCCGTTCCGCCAGTCAGAGCTGGCAGATCGGAGCCGGGAGAGGGGAATCCGGCCCTCCCCCTGTCACGGCAGAGAGCCGTGACAGGATCGAGAGGTGAGCGAACCTGGTATGTGTTCGCTCACCTCCCGATCTACTGAGCAGACCTGTGACAGTCTCATTGTCACAGGTCGGCTAGAACTATGAGGTGAGTGGAAATCACTCATCTCATTGTTCTCCTTTAAAATGAAATACTGTAGGACATCTGTTTTTTGGAAGACCATAGTTCTGCTTTACGTTTGAACAGTGACAACCCAGATATTTATTGCTGGAGTATTAGACTATTTTTACATATAAATTATAGGCTCATTTCACACACATTTATTTGATGTAAATTTATAACATTATGTTGACTACATTTTGCAGCCTAATAAATAAAGATCCCAATAATTAAACAAGGCCCTTGAAAAAATAAGGACCTGCTTAATTGGTGGAATCTTTATTTTGTAATCAGCAACATAGGAATAAAGATTTGAAAGTTATTGCCATAGGTAAGGTAAGGTTAAGCATTGTATAGCAGTAAGACTGCCAGTGATGCATGTTTATTTTATTCTGGGATAATGCAACACAGGCTGGCCTATTGAGTTATGGCACATTACACAGCATAGGTCTATTGGAAATCTCCCAGTTGCTTCTAAACTGCCTGTTAGTAATACGCAGTGGTCCCAGGTCCAGTAGCACCCTTTATTGGAAACAAGCCATCATTTAAATTTCACCTGCAGTTCCATCATCAGGTAGAATGTATTACTGCAGAGTGTTCCTTCAAATAATACTGATACTCTGCGAATTACTATTATATACTGTATGTGAGGATGGCTTGCCAAATGAGGTCAACAATGATGGGTTGAGGGTTACACTCTTGCTTATAAGAGGAAGTGTCCTGAATCTGTTTTGTATTTGTTTTTATTGATATTAAAGAGATAGTTTACCCGTTTGTTGTCTGCAGTTACAATCATTTACATTTTTATCAATGACTGCTTTAAGCTGCTTTTAAAATAATGCTTCCTTCATGTCAAGAAAGCAACAGATGAAGAATGAAGATCATATGGATATATTTATTAAAATATGCCAATCTAGACACATTTTCCTCACTTGCTGCACATTCACCCTGCACATTCATTTGTATTATAAATGTTTCTTTAGGGGGAAGGCTGATCTTAGGACAAAATTTGCATTTGTAGGGTGGTGAACATGTGCAGCCGTGAGCAAGCTCGTTGAGTCCTCCTTAGGAATCATCTCCCTTATTTTACTCAGATAAGAAGCTTCGGTTTAAAATTCTGTCTTTAGCCCCACCTGGAGGTGATTCTTGGTATTATTGCCCTGTCATAGAGATAATTATCTTCTTCTGTGGGTGCCTTTACATTTCAAGGGTTCCACTACAAGGAGCTGCAAGATGGGGGGATTCTTCTGAGAGTAGAGCTGCTAGGTGGTCTTATTGAATTTACAGAATGTCAGGTTATAAGTACAGTAATTGTTTATTTTTAATTTATGTCACGCAAGGACCTGCCTGATTGGATATGGATTGAATGGCTTGTTTACGTATGTCCTTATATAACAAAGTTTTGGTAATCTAAAGGAGATTGTACAGAGATTATACAATATGATTGTACAGTGTATAGCAGGGGTAGACAAATATAGAATCCAGGAGCCAGTCTGTCGAGTCTAAGGGCCAGCAGGATTTATTTCAGGAGCCAGCTCCATTGAAAACAACTAGAAAAAGCCTAAAAGTCATTTTTTAGGGAGCATTGGCTACCTGGATCCTGGGATCTGTCTAGCCCTGGTGTATGGCCAGCTTAAGTCGTTGAGGAGCATGTGTTGAAAGTTCAAGTTAGTTCCCAGTGGGTGTGGATATATGCTCAAAGATATAAAAAAGGAGTAATTATCATGTAGTATCCTATAACTGGATTGGTTTGCTATCATAGGATTATAGTGTCATCACAAGGTGTTGGAAGTGCAGTGTATAATTGCATAGAGATCACATCATACTGGTGTAACAGAGTGCTTGTACATTATATGAAGACTGAACAATGCTGTGCAGTAGTGCACAATAGTGCAGACCTGATTTCATATGAATGTGCGTTAAGTTCATCTCTTAAAAAAAGAAAGAATATTGTTCCAGAATACACAAAAGCCATCTTGTGCAGTCACTGTTGTACAGCTAACTACATTGCATTATGATTTTTGTATATAATTTTTTTGCCTGGAGTTTTCCTTTAAATGCTAATCTTTAGAGGAACTCCTTTTGTTGCAGACATATATTTTCTCCAAGGTTACGATCATGTCATGTAGACCTCATCATACTGCAAATTAAAATTGTTTCCTTGTTTGTTCAGACTGCTGTACATTACTACACCTATGTTATGACTACCTAATGCTAAATCATTTTATCCACGCCTGGAGCAGCATACCAGATGAACTCTGTCACTCTAACATTTCTGAAACAAGCAGTAACATAGAGTCACTTCTATTATATAAGGTCTAGCATGACGTGCACACGTGGCTGTTTCACCTGAGGAATAACTTTGAAACAAGGCGTTTATAATAATTATTCTTATTCTGTGCAGGAGCTCTGATTCTGAGGAAGCCTTTGAAACCCCAGAGTCTACAACACCGGTGAAGTCAGCACCTCCGGTCCCTATTCCGGCCCTTCCAGAGGTTCAGGAACAACAGCCTCAGCAGCGCCAGGAGCTTGAGGACATTCCCCTCCCTCCTTCAAAGCCTGAAGATCCAGGTATATACCAAAACATCTTTGATCCGCCGCACTCCAGACCGGAATCGCAAAATGAAGGTGGGTGCTGGTATGACCTGCGGATGGGGCCGCGTAAATCACAGAAGTATTGAGATAGTCACCCGCACTCCAAGGTCAAACATGCTGGA